AATGAAAAGTAGAAATTAAGTCGCTTTTGATCCAAGTGATGATCCAAATATAACAATAAATGAATATAGCAAAGACATATATAGTGATGCGTATAAACATGCCCGGGATTTAGTAAAGTGTTTGAATAGCTTGGTAGAATTCTCGGAACAGAAGAGAGTAAAGAGAACCCTGTATACAGAGGTCGAGTTACTATTAGCTTGATTTATTTCACAGCACACAATAGCCAAGTAAGAATCTAGAGTATGACCATCATATCCATAATTTAGAAGTTTGACAGCATATAGAAGCAATATTTTGTCATGTCCATGGCCCTAGGGAAACTTATTCAAGCAGCAGCTTAACGACTAACAAACTCATTTTGAATAAAATCAACAGTTCTTGGCAAAATCGATTTAGGTGCATACCGCCTCTTTGGAAATGATAGCCAGTTCACCAGGTTGGACGCCCTGCTTGACGAATTCTCGAGCAGCATATCCCTGTGAGCAGAAACAAATTTTCAAATCAGAAACCATACATCACATCCACTCGTATGAATCAAGTCGTATTACTGCGGTCTACTATGTGCACCATTCTCGTTAAGTCCGACATAATAACAAACACAAAGTAGGCTAGTGGAGTTGGATCAATTGGGTAAACGTTTATCGATATTTCCAATTCGTAGCCGACCTTGAATTCATAAACCCAATACACACAAAAAGAAACAGCTTAGACGAATATTTCTCAAACCGATACATGTATGTAAACACAAAGCTTTCCATATATCATTCTAGAAAAAGGCGTTTACATATAAAAATGTGGTCTAGATCTGGAAATCACTCACTTCAATACCATCCAAAACCAAGTAAAACAGAAATTGCATACTCTAATCAGACAATTGACAGGAAATTAATCAGTAGTTCAAACGTCCGAAAACATTTCCATTTCACATCGGAAAATAAAAAAAAAAAAACTAAAACAAAATTCAGCATCGCGGATGGAAATCAAATCAAATCAAAATCAAACATCGTCAAACAGACGAACAGCAGCAAAGCAGATACATAAAACAAAGAACAAAAGCATTCAAAAGTTACGGTAAAAAAAAAAAAAAAAAAAAAAAGTTGATCGAATACTCACAGCAGAAACGCCGCCACCGACGATCACGTACTTGAACGACTTCTCTGCCATTGAATCAACTCAGTTACCGATCGAAATCTATGTGATTTAAAAAATAGTATAATAATTCTGCCGGAGAGACGCAATTGCCTATTATATATATACTTTTTCAGCTTTGGGATTTAGGTGAGAAATGTGGGAAGATTCATGAAGACATATGTCTAGAGATGGGTGGCTCGATTGTGATTGGTTGATGATTAAGTCCCCGTTTGAGAGAGCCATTCCGATCCGTATACGTGTCACGAGATCTGCCGTTCAAACTGCTGACCGTGCATTCGCCACGTCAGCTGTATTTTGGGTCTTCTTTGCCATATCAGTAGTTGACTGGTGGGCGGATGATGAATCGCTTGTCCAATTTTTCTTTCTACCTTCTGCTTTTTTAGAAATTAAAGAAAAGAAAATATATATAGATATAAAATATATAAATAAAAGGGCAAATTACGGCCAGCCATGAGGTACGGCTAAATTATGAAAAAACCATTTTGTTTGAGTAGTTACAGTCACCCATTCCTTTTAAAAAAATCTACATAAAATTTATGTAATTTGGTTATTCACCTAACCAAATCGTATATTTAGTTCAGTAAACGGTACGAAATGTTGACGTACCGAATTTCGGTTCGGTTTTATCGATTTAACGTACCAAAATTTACCTCTGAAAAGGTTTTTCTCGTAACGTAATACATAGTTGAGGGGTGATTGTAATTATCCAATCAAAATAGAAGTTTTCCGTAATTTAATCATAAATAGGAGTGGTTATAATTTGCTCTGAATAAAATATATAAATAAATATGTGGATAAATGAAAAAAGCGGCAATTAGAGATGATTAGAGGAGCAAAGATATGATTTGCTGCCCATAAAATTGAAAAGTGGGCCCGGCTGGTTATTATGCAAGGTGTGAAAAGGATCTTTGACATTAATAATAATAAAAATAGCAGCAAGCTTAGTGGAAATATCAATCAATTTCAATTCAGGAAAAAATTGGAATAGTATAGTCAAGATTTGTTTAATTGGCAGCTTCTCTACCTCCTTATTTGGACTGGACTATTTAGCGATTTCGAATATTGGTGATTTACACAGTACTGGGAGATCTAGAACATTCCATAAATGCATTTACTTACTAGCTCTTACTTTTACTCCTCCTAGATTGATCGAGGGGAGTTCGTTCTGTAATACCAATTTCGATTAATCGAAATTTACCGAAATTCCGGTACATCAAAAATTTGTACTGTTTACCGAACTAAATTATTCGGTTCAGTACAACTTTTTACTGAATTAATTTGGTTTTTTCGGTTTGGTACCGATAAAATCGAAAATATATTTTAATATTTTTAAAAAAATGTAAAGTAATATATATTTAAACTATTAATAATCGGCTCTAAAGACAAAAAATGATTATCAATAGAGGTTAATTTGTAAATAATGGAAAAAAATATCAATCTAAATGTGTTTTATAATTTGTTATAACCTTAAAATATTTAAAGTAAAAGAAAAAATATATTTATTAAATATTTCGGTATACGGTATGGTATAGTATACCGGGCATCTATACCGTATACCGTACTGAATACTGAGATTCCAAAAAATATTTACCGAATACCGAATCGAATTGTTACTAACATCGAATTGAAGTTCTTTGTTTTTGCTAAAAATGAGTCGTAAAAAGGTTTTGAATATAAGAGTTGGAATTATACATTTTTTTTGGAAAATGAAAATATTTTAGAGGTAATAAATGAATGGAATAAGGAAAATTGAGAAAATATCTGCATGCGGATGTAAACGAGATCGAGTCAAGCTGAACACATGGTTGTTCAAGCTTGTTTGAATTTTTATCAAGCTTTCTGAATTGATTTGATAAGCAACAGAATTGAGCTCAAACAAGCTTTAATCAAATCAAACACGAATCGAACTCGAGTAATTTGATTTTTTATACATTTTCTTTTTATATTTCTTTCTTTTTTCCTAGTCAAGCTCGATCTTGATCCAAACTAAATATTTTTTCGAACAAAATGTATTTAAGTTCGGTTTGTTATGCTAACAAATCAAGCTCAGACGAGCTTGTAACTAACGTTATCAAAATCAACTATCGAGTAGCTTTTGATTTTCAACTATAAACATGCAGTTTCTATTTCAAAATTTAATTTCATGAAATAATGGTAGAGAAAAAAATAAAGGAAAAGTCAAATACATTATGTTATGTCATCAATTGAGGGTTGTCAATTATATGGCTTAGTTGCCGGCTGCAAGCCCACCTTAAACATGCCATTTTTTTTTATTTACTTTTCATCAACTCTATATTTTGCATTTAATTAAATCTAGGCCCATTGGACGCAACCCATTGTCCCTATAGAACCAAATAACTTCATTTTATGCAACTTTTGGTGTTCTTTTTTTTGCCTTCATGAAAATATTAGACTCATCCTTAAATTGTAGTATATACCCCGACGGACATTGCACAACGACGAAGCATGAAGAGTTGTGTGCAACATCCGTATTTACCTGGTAGGCGAACCAGGGGGAAAACCGTCTACTTCCAAAATTAGTCGAGCGAAGCTCGGACATCTGGGTTATCAAATAAAAAAAACAGGAACGTCGATATCCAACACCCTTAATGTCCAATTGATTAATCCGAATCAAGCAAAATCGATTTTTTTTTTTTAAATCACTTAATTGGGGCTTTAGATTATTTATTCAAGTATGCATTAGTTGTATTTTAAATTAAAGTCTTCTTGAGACATATGTGGAAGTAATGAACCATTCCCCTTCCGGTAAATAAAATGAGGCCTGAAAGTGATTGTTTTCTTGTACTTTTGACAATTGACGTTATCAACTAGTAATATTTAATTCTGATAATAAAAATAAAAAATTAAATAAAAAAAAAACTAGTATTAATATTTAACACGATACCTACCCCGGAAACTCTCTTTATATAGGTCTAATTCAAAATCAAATACCTGCAATTTTTTAATAGTAGATGCTCCAAAAGTATAATAATATTCATTTGATTTTTATATATATATATATACCACATTAAAAGGGGGACCAGTTGAGTATATAAGTTTTATTAGCAGTCCAAAAGTTATTTGGACCCGTGCAGAATCATTGCATCCACGTTTAGCCCAATACTTGCTTTTTTTTTTTTTTTTTTTTGAACAAATCTTACTTGCTTTTATCATACTACAGGTCAACTTTTCTTGTATGTACCAATATAATATTTATTTAAAATAAATATCGATTCTTACAAGGGATGTAGTAGCGGTTGGAGCAAGTGAACTCGTATCAACTGATTCAAGTTTGAATTTTCTTGACAACGGTCACTAGGTCGAATTTGTCACACATGGTTAGCTTAATGTGGTTTATGTATCTCGTATGATTCGCAAGCTATTATACGAGAATGTAGGTTTTGCAAGCAGACGAAAGTGTAGATTTACCCAAGTTTACTCAATGCACTTATATATGATTTGGTTGCGAGTTAGGTAATTTATTATTGGCATGAAATATAATTAAGAAATTTAGTTGATCATATAATGGACTAAGCCAAGAATGTTTGATGTTGTATCTCTTATAATAATGCTTTTATACAACCAAATAAAAATAATAAGTGGAACAATTTATTTTTGTATAATCAATTATTATAAACGAACAAATTATAAAAATAAAATATAAAAACGATTTTAATTGATATTATATCAAATAAACATATGGATAGCAAAACATTCATAATGGGTGAGCACGTATCCGATACTATCTTGTTCCATATAATCACATCGCTTCTATTGAACAAAGTGTTTTTCTAAAGGGATAATTTGCTAAACATCGTTAGGCGCTAATACTCTTTTAAAGCGCAGGATAATAAGATTTTGGCATTTTACTAAACATATTATTCAGGTCTTCTTCACTACTCCACTTGTTTTGTTGCACTCTTCAGATCTGCTCCACTCGAACTGCCGGCTGATGACATCGCTAAAACTCTTCCATACACAATTGCGCACACACACTATACAAAGTGACGCATGCACACGTACACTAACATACGCACACATAATCACATTCACGCACAATAGTCATTTGGAAAATCAAATCTGTGTATTTTTGCTTCACTGTGTTTATCTACATAATTCAAACACAATAGTCGATCATAATATATGATGGATTTTTCCCAGCTCGACACTCTTTCGAACTTCAAAGTGAACCTCTTTTTATTTATTTCTATTTTTTTCTTTTATTGTTATTATTATTGTTGTTAGAGCAAACCAAGTTTTCTCGAACTTGCGGTTATAAAAAAAATCATGTGGTCCTTGTTCTACAATTTATAAACATGACCTAGATTTAATTAAGTAAAGCAATTATTTTAACGAGACTGCAGTACTCCTAATCACGAGCAATCAATTATTCATTTTAATAAATTAAAGTCATTAAGATATGATGAGGTTCTAAAAGTTGATTACAAGTTATCATCATGAAGTTAAGCAGCTTCCTAATCCAACGATGATTATTAAACACTCGGATTGTTCTAGCTACCAAATTTCTAGTATATATAAATAATTCTTCATTTTTTTTTTTTTTTGAGGAAACTTCTAGGATATATAAATAATTCGTTGTTATCGAATACAATGTGAAATAAAATATTTTACAAATAATGTTTCGGGGTAAACGAGAAATTTTAACCGTTATTTCAAATTGATTGATTTTTCGATTCTATTTATAATTTCTCTATTGTTGTGACTTGTGACCAATAATCACTAATCATTGACAAATACAATTATGTTTCTTTATACTTTTGATATGTGACTAAATAGTAAATATAGTTACCTAGGCTAGTTCAATTATGAAATATGTAACGTGTTGTTCCACTCCTATTTGTTTTGGTTGATATAATTGGTGCATAATTTGAATATTAGGCACGTAATTAATTTATGGTGGTTGTACTGAACAGACGATATTAAATTATGTCGAAAATTGTTTTTTGCGGTTTGAAAATTGCTATTTGCGGTTTATAACAAAACTCCACAAAAAAACACTTTATTTCACTAAAACTCCAAAACTTCCCAAAAAAATCCAAAAACCCCGCCAAAACGCGTAAAAGCCCAACTTGGGCGCCCATTCATGCAGTACACGCCCAAGTTGGGCGTGCAAGCTGCATTTGGGCACCCGAGTTGGGCGTCCAGTGCAAAAAAAAAAAAAAACTTTTTTTTTTGTTTAAATGTTCGAACGCCCAAGTTAGGCGCCCATCTTGGGCGTTCGAACATTTTTTTGCGAAAAAAGAAAGCCCTACAAATCGATTTTGTAGAGCTTTTTAACATGAAATTGGTTCCGTAATCGACCTACCCAATGCATATTACACATAAAAGAGTCGAAATTACATCAAAAAATCGGAGCCCAACCCTTCTTCAAGCTTGATTTCGAATTTTCGATTTTTTTTTTTTGCTATTTGCAGTTTTGGGGGGTTTTTGGATATTTTTAAAAGTTTTGGGGGGTTTTGTTATAAACCGCGAATAGCAATTTTGTGAACGCAAATAGCATTTCATTAATAAAAAACAAATTAATAATAATAAATAAATAAATCAAATAAAACAAGTTTCTGCCATACAACACATTATCCTGTATATCATTTAGTTAGAGTGAAGAGTTGTTTGGTGAATTTTGTTGGATTAAACACAAAAAAATATGGTCAAATAATTGAACCTTAAAAGCTTCACAATTACTAGAAATATGTGCATTTGCGATAGGCACAAGTTCATTGTCGTTGCATTCGAGCGAGATGCAAGTTTGTTTTTTTACTTTGAAATCTCATTTCTTTTAGGTTTCTGCTGAGAAGTTAATCAGCTCGAGTCAGTTAACGCTACACGTATGCGACGGATGCAAGTTCACTTGTTGTTTTCACGTTTGTATAGACCCCAAATACAATAAATTCATACTGTTAATGAGTAATACATAATGTGGTCTTCGATAAAATATTGTCATCAAAACTTACAAGGAAAATTGTTTGAGATAATAAAATAGATTGGGTGCTTGGGTTTTAACTTTTCAAGGTAAATTATGGTCACTCCCTGCATAACAAGTTGAAATTATGAAAAAAAATCATCATATTTTGATAATTACAACCACCCATCAATTATGTATTTTGTTACGAAAATCCCCTTCTTTAGTTGGTAAATTTGACACTGTAAGGGTGGACATATAAGACAATACATAGTTGAAGAGTGTAACTATCCAAATATAAGAGATTTTTTCGTAATTTGAGCATACCATAAGAGGTGGACGTAATTTGCCCAATTTTTTAAATAAAGTGTCATGGAATGATTGAAGTCTGAAAATATAAAGTGTCGTATTTACAAAATAGGGCAAATTACGGCCACTCCCTGAGGTATGACCAATTTATGAAAACCCCCCTCTTGTTTGAGTAAATACAACCATCCTCTCCTTTTAAATATTTTTACATAAAATTTATGTAATTCGGTTATTTACCGAACCAAATCGTATATTCAGTTCGGTAAACGATATGAAATGTTGGCTTATCGAAATTTCGGTTCGGTTTTACCGATTTAACATTCTAAATCTACCTCTACAGACTACAGGGGTGTTTTCGTAAAATAATACATAATTGAGGGGCGTGACTGTAATTATCCAAACATGAAGAGTTCTTTTATAATTTAACTATAACTTAGGGTTGGCCGTAGTTTGCCCTACTAAATATCAAATGAAACTAAATTTTGTTTTATTGATTTTAAATTTATTTTGAGATTCATCATGGTTGTAAAACGTGCACCCATATTATTTTGTACTTACATATGTTTTATATATATAAATATTAGCGGTTGAGATCTGTTTTCCACTAGAAGAAAAATATACATATGCCCCATGAAAGATTTTTTGGTAATTAGGTGTTGATTAGGGCTATGCCCTAATTATTTGTTCAAGTGGCGATCACATGCAACACGAACTTACAAATTATATTACAATAGTTTCTAATTGATATATGACTTGAGTTCGAATCGTTTTGCTAATATTTTCTAGGTTAAATTCGTAACATATGAACTAGACGAGTATTATTTGTTATCGAGTAATTATTCGTAAGTTGCGCATGACCATAATTTAATTGCCAAGAGAATTTTGAGTAACTACGTAGGGGGTTCATTTGGTAAAACATTATCGAACTGTACTGGAATTCCGATTTATCAAAATTTTGGTACTTCAAAAATGTGTACCGTTTATCGAACCGAACTATTAGGTTCGATAGGGTTTTTTACCGAATTACTTTTGGTTTTTTGGTTCAGTACCGGTAAATTTGAAAATGTATTTTTTTTAAAAGGTTAAAAAAATATTTAAACTAGTTAATTCTTGAATTTAATATTCAAATTTCAATAATCTCTAAAAATAAAAAGTGATTTTCAATGGAGGCTAATTTGTAAATAGTGGAAAAAAATTTATCAATCTATAAGTATTTTATAATTTATTGTAACCTTAAAGGATTTTAAAACAGAAAAATAAATATACATATTAAATATTTCGGTATTCGGTACGACACGCTATAAGAAAATTACCATAAAAAAATAGATGAAGAAAGTCAAAACAAATTTGTGAGGGGCAATAACTTGTATTTACTAATTTTCATAGTATGATAATTAAAAAAAGAGAGAGTATATATTTACAAACTTATATGGGGAAAAAATATTTTGAAAGTATTTTTCCAGAAAGAATATTCCAGAAATTTAAATATTTTACCAAGAAAAAACTAGATGATTACATACCTCATATAGGTGATTATAATTTCAAATACATGGATGTTTAGGTAATTAATGCTTACAATAGGTAGGGATGGCAATGGGTACGGGTTTGGCGGGTCTTGCACCCGGAACCGACCCGTTTGGGGCGGGTCTGGGTCAGATAAATGGTTTTGGGTCGGGTAATGAGTTTAAGTTTTTAGAACCGGATGGTTCTGGGTCGGGTTACAGGTCTTATTGGAACCGACCCAGCACCGACCCGTATATATATATATATATATATATATATATATATAATTTCAGGTTTCATTTATCAAACTATCAATTTCCATCTTGTCTATTCTCATTTACCTATTTTCACTGTTTTATTTTTCGAATTTTATTTTTCGTGAGTAATATTTATCACTTGTCAACCACCGCTAATTGTCTTGCATTTTGAATTTTACTTATTATCGAAGTTAAATATAATTAATTGTAATTTTATTGTTCATGTTATGTCACTTGTAGAGAATTTTTAAAATATTGTATTTTAGTATTGAGATTATTTCGTAAAAAATATACAAGCAAAATGTTATGAAAGTTAAAAAATATTAAACTTTTTGTATGTTAATGGGTCTAGCGGGTCTGGCGGATCAGAACCGTTTAGTTAGGGTCTGGGTTGGGGCTGGTCTGGGTCTAAGCTAAAGCGGGTTGGGGCGGGTCTTGTATTTATATATTTTTCGTAGGTCGGGTCTTGGGTTTAGGCAAACCCGACCCAAAACCGAACCGTTGCCATCCCTAACAATAGGGAGTGATTCGCAATTTAATTGATCGATGTAACTATATTTTGAATATATTAATGTATAATCAGGATTCTCTTATTACAATTACACTCTATATTACTTTTTTAGACAACAAAAATTTTCATGAAACGAACAAAATAAAATAATCATATATTTTCAAAATATCATATTCTCTCAATTGAAAAATATTATATTCTCTCTCAATTGTTCCCTTTTTTTTAATTTTTTTTGTCTCTCTCAATTGATTAATTGGGAAGGTTTGCCGACAAAATCATTTTCCTAAATACCTCCAAACTTTGTAATGAAAATGACAGAGTAAAGAAGAAGGAGAAGTAGGCTCCGAATTATTAAAGATGTTGGAGTGGTTTCGTTTTGCTAAATTTAATTTAAATAGCTGATAAGATTTTACGTCTTATTTTTACAAATTAATTAATCTAAAGTGTTTGGAAAATGAACTTATAAGCAGTTTTGATTCATTACTCACCATAAAATCTTAAATAAAAATGTGGGATACATCTGCTTTTAAAAAAATCTTATTTATTCTCTTACAACATATATATATATTTTTTAAACATATTTATAAAAAAATAACAAACACTTTATAAATGTGAAAAAACTAATAAGCTCTTTTTAACCGTTTAATAAGCTTTGGTAAATGATGTTATTAAGGTGGTGTTTGCAAATGCTTTTTGAAAGTGATCATGCGGTTTTTTTTGCTCATAATCTGTTTTTAGGTGTTTGCAAAATCAACTTTTGCTTTTGATTCTCTTAAAATAATCTGCTTTAAGCTATTTTTTTAAAAGCACCCCTAACCCTGCTTTTTCAATTTTAGTTCATTTTCCGAAATATTTGCAAACACCCCCAACTTTTAGAAATAAGCACTTAAAACTAACTTAAATCACAATCACTAACTTCTGCTTTTAAATAATCATTTGCAAACACCACCTAATTACCAAAACCATTTTATATTCCATTTTACAAAAAAACAATTACATTTAAAACATGAAGTAAAAAAAAGAAAAATCAAACATAAAGACATAACCAAACATCCCCATAACCTTCCAACAGAAGATTACTACCTAAATTAATTACATTATCTACTGTGGGTTGGCAGATCTCTGCTGGTAAATTAGGAAAAATGTAATTAATTGCCTCCAAATCCGAATCCAAAGACATGTAAGTGGGTCCCACTCACCACATTTTAGTGGGACCCCTTTTTAATTATTTTCCTGTGCCAAAAAATAAAAAAAAACACGGAAATAGAGAAAAAATAATTTAAAAAAAAAACTGTGTTTTAGAGTTTTAGAGAGAGAGAAATATTGAAGTGAGAGAGACAGTAGAGTTTTTGTCATCTCTCTTTCTCTCTCTTCCCTCCGCCACAGTCTCCCATCCTTGTCCACCGATTAGCCTCCCTCTCTCCCTGAGAATCAAAACAAAACGCACACTGTTCTCTTTCTAGGGTTTTCAAATGAGTGAAGCTAAGCAAAATGAAGTTGTAATTAGCACGAGATCTCTCAATGCTTCAGGTATCGTTGTTTTGAGCGCATTTTTGTTTGTTGATCTCTCTCTGTAGTTGAAATTTTGTTCCGTTTTTTGATATTTCCACCATCTGTTTGTGAAATTGTTTATATGAAAATGCTATCTGCAATCCTTATGAAATTTCATTTGTCAAAAAATAGCAGTTTTGCGCACCCGTATGGATCAAAGTAGCTGGGTTTTACTTTATTTATTTATTTTATTTTTTTAATTTTTGCAATAATCAGTTGATGCGTGTGATGTAGCAGGATGTTGGGGTTTCTCACAGTTGCTGGAAGATCACACAGTTGATATTATTTATTCTTTTATTAATTAGTTAATTAGATTGTTCATCAATTTATACAACTGGGTTTTGTACAAACAGATAGAGCTTTACTTATAGAAAATTCAATATTAAGTTTATCGTTACGAACTCCGTGATCTGTAAATGCAGGTGCAGATTATATATAAATTTGACAAAGAAAAATGTTATTTCTTATGATAATCAGATGATTAGCTGGAATTTGCTCACAAATTCCGTAATCCATATCGGAAGGTGCATTTATATTGTTTCTTGTTGATAGACGCAAAAAAGTGTTTCTATAATTGATCAATTTGATGATAAAGCAGGATATCCCTTGTTGAATTATAGTTGTTTGCGTATCATAGTATAAATAATGTGATAGATAACTGTATGGTATGACTATCACCAAAAATTACTTATAGTTCGCTTATTGTTGATACAGACTGGTGATCAAGATTTGGACCACTAAATCGAGGAGAAGGAGCTCGTGAAAGCTTGTAAGAAATGGAGGGTCTATATTTATGCCTGTAGGCTTCTTGAGAGTGATGTTTAAACTCATTTAATTAATTGCATAGAAAAAGTTGCAATGGCTTCTTCTCGAGGAAACTGTGAAATAGTCGAGGCAAAGGACGACCATCCGAGCACAATTAATCGACCGCAATCAGTTCGTCAATTAAGAACACATGACAGAGAACAGAAACCTCCCATTTTGAAGAAACCACACAACAAAAGTCTCGAAGACGATATCAACAAGCTTTTTGAATCGGTCAATCTGAGAGCATGCAAAAGTCTCGATCTCTCAGACTCGTGGAGGAATGCTTCGAAGAAGCCAATGAGAGCCATCGGTTCTCACTCTCCGGTGACTAGATTTTCAGACCCCATTTCTCTCAAGCAGGCGTTAAGGGGGCTGTGCATTTCTCAGGCGGCAGAGGTTGCCGCCCTGAAACGGCTGTCCATGCCACCTTCGGCATCTCCTAGGATGTCTGAAAAGTTGTACAGGTCTGTTGTGGTTGAAGGTGGAGAAAGCAGAACGGAAGTTTCCGGAAATTCGAGTAGGTTCGTTCAAGATTCCACCACCAATAGTTCATGTTCATCTCCTAATTATATTGTTGAACCAAACGTAAAGCCTGTAGAATGTAAGTCTAGTGATTCTGGTCTTTCACTGGTTGAAAGTAGTGAATCCGTTGTAGTTGCGGATAAAGAATCCTCTCCTGCATGTAATGTTATTACACATGCTTCGGAAGCAAAGCAAAACTTTGAAGTGTCTGCTCTGCCTCGTCAAAATTCTCATGGTGATGATGTCATATCGAAGCCAGACAAGAAAATTTCTGCCCCAATCAAGGTACCTAAGCTGAGGCGGAAATCGAAAATACAGACAGCTTCATCATCCAGTGCAGTCAAAAGCAATACAGACTCAAAACCTACTAGAGTTGCCTCGCGTACTATAAAACCAGTCATCAGAAACAAGAATCTTGTCATAAGGAAACCGAAGAAGATTCCGGAATCAACCGACGCTAATAATCTCAAAAAATCTGGACAAATGATCTGCCAGAAGTGTCAGTGTTCATTAACGGTTACGAGTAAGGATTCTCCAGCTACAGTTACCACAACCGAAGCTAGTGATGAATGTCGAACAAAGAAACCAGACTCGATTCCTATTGGTTGGGAGAATAAAGGGACGCATGTTAAAACTATTGTGAATCTGAAGTCCACCGAAAAAGGGGATATTTCACAAAGCTCAAAGAGCAGCATTTGCGATTTCAGCAGTAGCACAACAACTAGCCTAAGCGAGGATAGCAGTTTAAGTGGGTCCACCTGTGGAAGTAAACCGCATATGTCAAAAGACACAAGGTGGGGCGCTATCAATTGCGTAAGAAAGCAATATGGTTTCGTAGGGCTAAACCATTTCAATTTGCTGAAGAAACTTGGCTCGGGAGATATAGGCACAGTCTATCTTGCTGAACTTGTCGGAACAAACTGCCCATTTGCAATAAAGGTTATGGATAATGAGTTCTTGGGGAGAAGGAAGAAGATGCCTAGGGCCCACACGGAGAGAGAGATTCTGAGAATGCTGGACCACCCGTTTCTTCCAACGCTTTACGCTCAGTTTACGTCTGATAATTTATCGTGCTTAGTGATGGAGTTTTGTCCTGGTGGAGATCTGCATGTGCTCCGGCAGAAGCAGCTTGCCCGATGCTTCCCTGAACAGGCGGCAAGGTAAAGAATCTTTTAAGGCCCGTTGATTCTGTTTTTTTATCCCTTGCATTGGGCACTAGAAAGTTTAAATTTTTCTAACTTTATCCTTATACTATATTGAACTCAGCTATTAATTGTTTCCCATGTTAAGCATCCCTTAGAATTTCAAGGCAAATTTTTTTTAATACCAATTTTACCCATTATTATTTTCTTCTTGCAGATTCTACGTTGCCGAGGTACTTCTTGCACTCGAATATCTCCACATGCTCGGAATTGTGTACCGAGATCTCAAACCCGAAAACATACTCGTCCGCGAAGACGGACACATCATGCTCACAGATTTCGACCTCTCCCTCAGATGCACAGTCAACCCAATGCTGGTCAAATCCTCTTCACTCGGAAAGTGGGACCCACCTAGGGTTTCAGGCCCATGTGCTGGATCCAACTGCATCGACCCCTTCTGCAATGGCCCCTCATGTCAAGTATCCTGCTTCGCCCCCTCAAGAGCCAAAAAGCTAAAAGCTGAAGCTGCAGCAAAGGCAAAAGCTCGATCTTTACCGCAGCTTGTGGCGGAGCCCACAGAGGCCCGGTCAAACTCGTTCGTCGGGACCCACGAGTATTTGGCCCCCGAGATTATTAAAGGGGAGGGGCACGGGAGTGCGGTTGACTGGTGGACTTTGGGGGTGTTTTTGTACGAGCTTCTTTATGGGAGGACCCCGTTCAAGGGGGCGGAAAACGAGGAGACGTTGGCGAATGTGGTTTGTAGAGGGCTGAAGTTTCCGGAAGGTCCGATTGTGAGTTTCGAGGCGAGGGATCTTATGAGGGGGCTTTTGGTAAAGGAGCCGGAGAATAGGTTGGGGGTGGAAACAGGGGCCGCTGAGATCAAACGGCATCCGTTTTTCGAGGGGTTGAATTGGGCTTTGATTCGGTGTGCAGTGCCACCTCAGATTCCGGAGGTGTGTGATGTTGTGAACTCGAACGTCGTCTCTCTCGAGGGGAAGGGAGAGGGGTTTATGGAGTGTAGTGTTGATGGAGAACATTTGGAGTTTGAGTTGTTCTAAGTGGAAATTTGAGTTTGATGACTAGATTGTGATGTGGATGAAAGGGAAATAATATGTGTATTGTTGAGAATGTTGCGGCAAAGTTATTTAAACTTTATAAATATTTTCCTCTCACTATGTGCAAATTTGCTAATAGAAAAAAAATGTTGGTGAAGATTCAAGTAATTTGTTAACTAACATTTTGAGTTGTGAGGAGTCGATCGTAATTGATTATCGACCGGACCGACCCGACCCGACCAATTGGGTTTTGACCAAAATAATAAAAAATATTATTAGACCGATTTTTGTGGTTCCGATAGTGATTAACAACCGACTTTATCAGTTGCAAACATGAGTCGGTTGTCGGTATTATCAACAACTTTTTTTTATGCAAAAAGTAAAAGTCGAACGCAGGTATTATCTGTCACCCGATTTTTGAAGGTTTTAGCAAATACCATCTAGGGGTATATATCAGATCATAATTAGCACTTTTGAAGAAAAAAAGATTCGATAGTTAAAAAATCATTGTTAGGTATTATTAACCACTTTTTTTTATACGAAAAATTATATCAAATCGATATATCTATAGAAAGTCAGTTGGTCAGATAATACCTGCCAACTGACTTTTCAAGGTTTTAGCAACTACCAACTAAGGGCATCTCTAGTGAAACCCCAATAAAACACTCCCCAAACAGTGGGGTCCATATGCCACCTACTCAAATTACTATTTCCCTAAAAGTAGGACCCACATTTAACACTCCCTAAAAAAAAATTTCTCTAGTGGTACATTTAAAACTCCCTAAAAATTTGTCCAAATATCTTAAATAATAATAAAATATTAAGGAAGTAAATATAATTGTAATTAAATTTGATTCTTTGTATCTAATTAAATTAATTTCGTATTAAATTACATTAATTAAATATTAGTCACCATTTTTATTACGTTGTAATATTATTATTTTATTTTGTTTGTATCCATATTATATCGATAAAATAATACAAAACATTCAACAAACATAAATGAAATAAAATTAACAAAAATACATAATAGATTGTAGTAAATTGAACAAGCTTGTTAGAACATTCCTTCAACTCTAGACATTAATAGATTAAAGAAAAAGACATTATAAAATTAGTTTTTATTTTTTCTAATACGGCTCAAGATCTCTATTTGTTGTTCAATAATACAAGTTTTACCTTCGTATTATATTTTATATTGTGATCGAATTTAGTAAAATTAAATTTCATGAAAATTTATTTTGACATTTCTTATAATAAAAGTGATGAATGTGAGAGACATATGTGGAACAATCAACTAAATTAAAATTAACATATTTACGAAATTAAAATTTAATTGTAAAATAAATATTTCTTCTATTATTATAGTGAAATTGAATTATTAAAATTAAAATATAAGTTTTTTTTACCATATTAATGAATTTAAATATAAAATTTATTTTACTATTAATATTAAAATTAATGAAATTTAAATTTGTAATTTCTAAAAATTATAAAATAATTAAATAATTATTAGATTTAATTATTACTTATCATAAAGGAAAAAAAAGAAAAAGAAAAATTAAATAATTAAAGTCAGATTTGGTTGACACACATTCCAAAAATACATTAAAATAATCAAAAGGGCTCCACATACACTCCCCAACCATGGATTAAATGTGGGCACTTCAATTGGGAGTCTCATGCCACATGGCACATTTAAGGAGGCTGGAGAAAAGCACTAGAGGAGTTAAAATCATCAATTACTCCCGATATTTAAAAAATCTGACAAAAATAATAAATTGGGAGTGGCACTACAGATGCCCTAAGGGTCTAAATCGAAGATACATAATCAAAATTAGCACTTTCGGAAAAAAATCGTATTTGAATTTGGTATTTATACATTAGAGTAAATTGAATTCTTTTAACTCTCACAACATCTCGAAACCAATGTTTTCAGAACCGAACCGGCTATAAAAACGAACGATCATTTGGGTCATGGATTTATAGGGTCGAACTGGTTCAACCGGGTTTTTTATTTTTTTTAATATGCCATTATTTTTTTAATTTTAATATTTTAAAAATATTATTTTCTTTGTATTTTTAATCTCTCACTTATTATTTTCACTTTTATTTACTTCACATCACTTTTTGCTATATTTTATTGCTTATACTCTATATTTTTCCATTTTTTATTCTTCAAATCTGACAATCGGCCACCCCTATTCGATCACCTGTCATCATATCCGACAAACCTTCGACCACTCATGACTAGATCCGGCCACCCACTACTAAGTCTGTGAAGGTTCGCTCAAATCTAGCCTCAAATAACCAACTCAGCGGTGATTTGAGACGTTTTGGCAAAAAACCAGGTTCCTTGACTGACTCGTCGGTTCTCGGGTTTTACCCGATTGAACCGGATTTTGTTTATTTGACCCCAGTTTTCAATTTTTCTAATTTTAGATGTCAGAGTGGACCGCTTTATTGTCGGGTCATGGTCGAACCGGCCCGATCGGCCGATTCAGTCCGGTTCTAACAACATTGCTCGAAACTATATTTTGTAGGCATTTATAATATTTGGAAGTAAAAATATATATATAATTTGTTTTTTTGTTTATATTTTAAAAAATTCCCCGCCACCGCAGCTGCGAGTGCCGCTCTAAGCTCGTCGTGCTCCTCCGTCAACGTCGCCTACGCATTTCAATCCCTCACCAAATTAAAAGTCCTTTCCCTTTCATGTAAGTAATTATTGATTAATTTTCCTTAATTTTTCTTCCGTTTAGTCTATGCAATTTATTCACCGAGGTGTTTTTTGCGGCAAAGCTTAACGCCTAGGGTTTTATACTGTAATTCATCTCAGGAATTACTGCTTAAATGTGTTTATTTTTCGAAATCATGAGTGCAAAATGGAAGAATTTTAATTGTTGATTATTTTTTTTTTTTATTTTTTGGTTGTGCAGCATAAGTGGCGAAATTCTCATAAACACACGATATGTCTGCAAGGTAAATGAAAATTCTAGAAGAAAAGATATTTTATTTACATATTGTTGTCCAACCCTAGCATATTTTCGATAGTTTAATTGAGTACTAATTTCCATCTGGGTTCAATTTTTAATTTTGGTGAACCTGGTTCCCATTTGGACAGGCTATGTAAGAAAATGGTTTTTTGTTTATAATTAATAAATTGAATTATCAGGGAAGATAAAGGTGACATGCTTCGGATATTAGTAGCTACGGATTGTCATCTTGGTTATATGGAGAAGGATGAAGTTCGCCGGCACGATTCGTTTCAGGCATTTGAAGAGATTTGCTCGATTGCCGAGCAAAAGAAGGTGTAGAGTCTTCTTCTTTTTCACCTCTAGGTTTTGCTTAAATTGCAGAGCGTTTATTTTCTTGTGTGTTCGTAGTGAAAATTACAGGTCGGATCCATAAACTTATCGAGTGCAGTTGAATATAGAGAAACATAGAAGGGATTGCATTAAGTTTTATGATTTTTTTATTTTATGCATTCTTATTCCCGATTTTGTTTCTTTCTACTTCATCTCTCACTCTCTTTTGCTCCAAAATTTGTTGTGCTTGTGATTGATTATTTAGTTGTATACTGAACTAAGATTTTATTTGAATGTTAGGTGGATTTCGTCCTTCTTGGAGGCGATTTATTTCATGAGAATAAGCCTTCAAGGTCAACCTTAGTCAAAGCCATTGAGATACTGCGCCGCCACTGTCTGAATGATAAGCCAGTGCAATTCCAAGTTGTCAGCGACCAAATAGTGAACTTTGCCAACTCGTAATCTCTCTCTTTGAGAGCGTATTTCTCCTCATTTTGATTGACATATTTCTTTTTGTGAAAAAAAAATATACGAAATTGTCTTTTACGCTATATTTCTTATTTTGAAGATCTAACTATTAAAGAATGTATCATATTTAAGATGTCATGTTTATTTTGTTCGCTTTGGCAACTAAGTTAAATCTTTAAACATCATTTTCTTCTCTTTTGATATGTCGTTACTGAAGTTTTGACCTGGCTTTGTTTTCTATATGTAGCTTTGGCCATGTAAATTATGAAGATCCTCATTTCAATGTGGGGCTGCCAGTTTTCAGCATCCATGGAAATCACGACGATCCTGCTGGAGTGGTATGAATTCTATGGTAAATGCGGTGCTTGTTTTTCTCTATAATGACTGTTGTGGCACTATTTTATCGGCACTTGCTAAATGAATAGTCTATGTCCCGAAAGTGTTAGCTGCATCAATCAGATTTCAGAATTTTTTCCTCAGTGCAACTGAAGAAATGTTTCAGCTCATGTATTTAACAAAGCTAATCAGATGCCTATTCCGATTCTTCCATTTAAATGTGATGGTTATGTTTTAGTTTTCGTCTCTAAAATCTAAGTGTATTGTAACAGTGAAAGTTATCTGGCTCATATGATCATATTTTTTGTTTTTCTTTTTTTCTTGTATGCTTATTTTCTGATTCACAGAGTTTAATCTATGATCTTAGAAAGTTACCTGTGCATTTTGTTGATAATTGTTGTAGGACAATCTTTCTGCTGTTGATATCCTTTCAGCGTGTAATCTTGTCAACTATTTTGGAAAAATGGTTCTGGAAGGTTCTGGTGTTGGGCAGATCACTCTCTACCCAATTCTTATAAAGAAGGTTTCGTCATCACTCTCTTTTATCGAAAATTTATCTAGTTGAAGCATAACTGTCTTTTACTGAAGGACTTGTGAATATACTGTATTATAGGGATCAACATCAGTGGCTCTTTATGGCCTTGGGAATATCAGAGATGAACGCCTGAATCGAATGTTTCAGGTATAGAAGCTGGCTGATTCTGGTTATCGATACAATCACATTGATAGAGTTCTTATTATCTTATTATATGAGCATTAGACTCCTCATGCGGTCCAGTGGATGCGACCCGAAGCCCAGGAAGGTTGTCAAGTTTCGGACTGGTTCAATATACTAACACTTCACCAGAATAGGTAACCATGATATCCGAGTTGTGTTTTAGCTGAACAGATGATGACATAAACAATATAAGAGTTTGTTAACTATACAATCACACGCAATCTTTTGTGTAATGTTCAGATATTTATGGAAATTTATAAGATATCTTCATTTTTCGGTTTCAGAGTGAAGACGAATCCCAAAAATGCAATTAATGAACATTTTCTGCCTCGATTTCTCGACTTCGTTGTCTGGGGGCATGAGCATGAATGCCTTGTCGATCCTCAGGTTCTGAATTGCCTAAATAAATCTTTATATGTTTCATTCTTTGGTTGTATATCTGATCGTTTGTTGTTTGGTTAACAGGAAGTTCCAGGCATGGGTTTTCATATTACTCAACCTGGTTCATCTGTTGCAACGTCACTGATTGACGGTGAATCAAAGCCAAAACATGTACTCCTTTTAGAGATTAAGGTTAGGGATTTGCCAAATCTTTCTTCTCATCAGTCATTCTGTTTGTTTTCTACTATTGTATTTTTCTTCCTTTTCCCTTTTCAATTCTCAGTAATATCAATTAATTTGTATTTGTGATACTGCATAACAACCAGGGTAATCAGTATCGGCCGACAAAAATACCTCTTGAGTCAGTGAGGCCTTTTGAATATGTGGAGGTAGATTCATTTTTATTTATGTCGTTAAGTGGAGAAACATCAATACTTACAGTCTGTACATGTAGGTAGTGCTAAAGGATGAACCTGATATAGACCATAATGATCAGAATTCCATTCTTGAACATTTGGACAAAGTGGTAATGCTGTTACACATTTTCTTTTTTAATTGTATATATTATAGACGATGATGATCACCGTTTCCTTTTTCTATATTAACTATTTTACTGTCCATTTTTGTAGGTTAGAAATTTGATAGAAAGGGCCAAGCAAAAGGCTATCAAGAATTCAGAGCTCAAGCTTCCTTTAGTTCGCATCAAGGTGAATCTTCTATTTCCTTTTCCTTACCTCTTTATGTTTTCTGACATTGCTTCTTTCCTTAGTTTTGGTGTGGTCAATTTTTGCATTTTATTTAACTCATTTATTTCTAATTGAATAGGTGGATTATTCTGGGTTTATGACAATAAACCCGCAAAGGTTCGGGCAAAAATATGTGGGGAAGGTATGGAAACTTTTTACTTTCCTTCCACCGACACTCACTGTGATTAAAAATAAAAGAAGTTATCAAGGCTGACACTTTTCATGACAAACTGCAAAATATAGGTCGCGAATCCCCAGGATATTCTTATATTTTCTAAAGCATCTAACAAACATAGCAGTGGAGGTAAATGTTATCATTAGTATCAGCACATGTACAACTTTGGGTTTTCGTATTTTCTTCGTAAGTGCTTTAATGATCGCAACATAAATACTTGTTTTGTACTAGGTAAAATTGATGACAGTGAACGCCTCCGACCAGAAGAATTGAATCAGGCAAACATAGAAGCTTTAGTTGCTGAAAGTAATCTGGTATAGTTCACCACCATTTCTTCTCTGAACAGTTTTAGGATTATTGCTAACCCATGGTAAAAATCTTGGTCTTCTATAGCATAATCCATGAAAACGACATATGTTTTAATCACCTATTCTAATTTTGAAAACTGGCCAATGCCTGAATTCAGTCGAGACATTTTTCCAATTTGCCAAAAGTGGTTCCACCATTTTTGTAAAGAGTAGACTGAGTTCCTACACCCAATTAAATGTGTGAATGTTGAAAATATTTATTGTTTCATGAAATTGCAACATTAGGAGTGGAGAGTTCTGACTGGTTTAAATGTTGTGTACTTTTTTATCGTTCTAATCTAGTACTTTTTATAAATTTTCAGAAGATGGAGATACTCCCCGTCAATGATTTGGATGTTGCACTACACAATTTTGTCAATAAGGATGACAAGATGGCATTCTATTCCTGTCTGCAATACAACCTCGAAGAAACTCGCGTAAGTAATTTACAGTGTCTTTTCACTCACGGTTTTCAATTTATACTTGCACAGATGGCGCTTTATTTGTTTCTTTCATTGGTTTGTCTGTTTTCTCACCAACCATTTTATCTATAGATTATCCTGCCAGTGTTCTCATAATTTGAATTCTTCCCAATCACAGAGTAAAATTGCACAGGATTCGGATGTTCAAAAGTTTGAAGAAGAAGACATTATCGTCAAAGTTGGAGAGTGCTTAGAGGTAATAAAAAAAATTCCCTTGTCCTTCCTTTCCTTCTTCTGGTTCAGTAAATGACTTCTTACCAGTGCTGTTTCCCTTGTTTTGTTTTAATGATCTCTGACCCAAATTTAGTATTTTTATTGTCCACCAAATAATTTACGGGTTCAAAGAACACCCTGGTCCCTGCGGTTAATGTTTATTTCTGCCTGTTCTACTACGTTCCTCTCCCTCTTCCTCACGTGACAAAAAAAGAAGTCTGACCACTCCTTTTTGACTTCCACTGGCCAAGACATTTCCCATTTAAAGTTATGTCTTCTATTGTCTGAAGAAGATTGATGTTATGATAATAAATGTGTTTGCTTGCAGGAGCGTGTCAAAGAAAGAACCTTGAAGCCGAATGATGCTCAACAGTTCACATTTAGTGGCCAGGCCTCAGAGGTACCCTTTTTGTATTCTAGTCTGACGGTAAACGAGTTGTTTTTGTAAGCCAAATACTTCCACTACACATGTGTTTTGAGTTGTATTTATTGTTTTTTTCTCAAAGAATGTCAGAAGCAGAAGTACTCAAGGACTTGGAAGTGCTGCTTCGTTCAGTGACGATGAGGATGCTACTGTATTCCCCGGCTCTATGTCTACCAAGAAGGGCAAACAGTCACAGTCTTCGAAGCCCCCTCGTAATAGTTCGGAAGCTGGTAAGACTACCGGAAGAGGAAGAGGAAGGGGAAGAGGAAGAGGCAGGGGTTCCGATACATTAAAGCAGACTACTTTAGAAGCAACTATGGGTCTTCGCCCTTCACAAAGGTTGGCTTTATTGTAAATTCACCAAAGCTGCTTCTTAATACATTTCTTGCTGATGCAATTAGAAATCTATTTTGGATGGTATTCAGGCAAATCTGTGTCGTTCTTTTTATATGCTTATTCTGTTAGTGCCGCCCCTTCTCTTGGCAGAAATGCTCCCTTGAATCTTTTTTAGATATCATCGTCTGAATAGGGCTTGAAAAGAAATCTCAGACGAAGGTTTAGTAAAAAAAAATCTTCAATGGAATTGCTGCAGCCCATACTGTATTGCCACGACTTATACTGAAAACACATTCCAAAATTTACAATGAACTCCTTTAGGAATTTCAAGATATCTAATAGGAAATAATTTTAAAATAAGATTTTCTTGCTACTTGATAACATGTGAATCTTGCTAGGATGTTTGCTTATGTTGTTTTTTCATTCTCTTATCTGCCTAATTCATATTGTTGCCGTATTTGAATTTAGCTGTCATTTCCCCCCCTATTATATAGTTCCTGGGTTCACTGAGAAGCATGAAAAACTTATATTACCATTCAGCACTCATTGATTTGATATCTTTACTTTTTATTTTCCTCGCTGTAGATCTGCGTCAGCTGCTGCGTCAGCTTCATTTCGGAGTTTGGATGACGAGGATGAAGTGGATTCAGATTCAAACGACGAAACTGCTAAACTTGACGTTAACGACATTGCTGAGAGCTCGGTATGTACTAATTTTTCATTCAAAGCCATTTTCTGCTCTCTGTAATTTGTTGTTATACAAATGTGCTGAGTCATTATTTACGTTTCGTACGCAAGGATGATGGTGATACTATCGGGAATAGCAGAAAAAGAGCTGCTCCAAGAGGAAGGGGTAGGGGTAGGGGTTCTACCACAGCCTCTAAAAGGGGGAAGAAAACAGATAGTTCTTCTTCTTCTTCACTTCATAGGTTGCTCTCAAGTAGAGATGATGACGATGAAGATGATGACATGGCGAAGAAACTTAATAAATCTCAACCTCGGGTAATTGATTCTATTCTCAATATAGCACTACCCTCCTTTGTTTTAATCATTTAACTTCGACTTTTAAGTTTCTTAGCTAACTAGTATGCTGTATATCTACATTGCCTGTTAATCTTAGAATCGACAGTAGGGATTCGTTTTCAGTTTCACCTGTTTTTTTTTGCCCATAGTTCTTTACGCCATTGCATCTTTTATATAAATATGCGCAGCATCTCATCTCAAGGAATCTGAACGATTTCGTGTATATATATATATATATATATATATATATATATATATATATATATATATATATATATATATATATATATATTTATGCATCATTTATGTTGAAGTTTTGAAGTGTGATTACATGTCTTTGTAGGTGACAAGAAATTACGGAGCATTAAGAAAATAGGTGCTGTTTGAGGTATCGTTCCTCCTTGGTTATGTAATACAACAATGGGCGCTCGTTAACTGTTGCTTTTGAAAGCTCACTGACATTTTGGTTATGTTTACTATCAATTAGGTAAGGTTTATTGCAATTAAACGTATTTAGATAAACGTTTACGGGAATCGAGTAAAAAAGTATTGTGGTTCGACAAAACAGTTCGTCCGAGTTTAAATTCACGGAAACCTGCAAATGAACAAATATGTTTTTATAGCGTCTTTTACATAGATTAAACTTCGATAACTCGTAATGAAACACATAAATAAAGAAAAAAGAACATGAATAACAACAATAAATCAACATCTTATAATTGATTCTATTTAACGAAAAAACTCAGAAGTAGAAAAAGAGAATATAACTGTATAATATGGATACATAAACGAAATCATGTGACCTACAAATACAAAAAAACAATATCGATGAAAAACATTTTTGATGAATATGAATCGTTTCTACCCATGTAACATATTTTAAAGGGCAAAGTTCAATTTGCACCCCTAAATTATGGGGTGGGTAGCAAATACACCCCTCAATTACGAAATGTACCAAGTATTCCCTCATGTTAGTATTACGTTTGAATATGTTGATATCACCTGCAGACTTTCTTGTTACCAACAGTTATTATAGCATTTGTCTTTTTTTTTTTTTTTTACCTTTTTACCGTATGTTGGCTATATATATTGTGCAAGGGTCCAAAGCTTTTTATGTGCCTCATTTTTTTTTTACCTTTATTTTTCCTCATTTTTTCATTTGAAATTAGTTATTTTTTGCTCATTTTTTCTTCTTAATTGTCCTATAATGCCCGGCTCTAGTTGTCATCAGGAGTTCAATTTCATATGACAATCCTAACCAAAACACATTAGTAACTAGATACTTAATTTTTTTAATTAAACCAAATATATCAAAATAGGACATTAAATCATGATACACATCTCTATCAATGTAAGTCAAATCCCCAACATATTAAAACTCCGTAGACAGACCTCCATGATGAATTAATTAACAAAAAATATCTGCCATTAAAACTTACAAAAAAAATATGCTCAAGTTAATAAAAGATTAAAATAAGATATACAATTGCTTAAATAGTCATCCAAGTACTGTTTACAACATGAGTTATGTTGGGAAAAAAACGAAGGAGGTAGTGACTTTGTGTTCTTTATTAAAACCGAAATATTTCTAACTAAAGTTCACATATAATTTCCCATAGACTAAAGGTGAGGGTAAGATTTAAATTACATAAAAAAATATTATAAAACTAATATCTTTACAGTTTTGTAGGTTTGACCAGAAAATGTATGAGAGTATTTGGTACGACACAACCCACAATTCAGGGATGCAAAGCGAAATTTGCCCTATTTTAAATTCCAAAAAAAAAAATCGACGAATCAAAACGGAAAAACGATCTTCACGACATAAATATAACAAAATTTGATTACTTAAAACTTAAAAGTAGTAGGTCCAGATTTCTTCATGGAGTTGGAGTTTGAAAGCTGCAATTCTTGTTCATTAACTTGAAGTTTCGAGAAGTACTAACTCATTAAAAATGTGATGAGTTTATTTTTCAACCTCACCAACCAACCACTCTTGAATCTTGAAGTTATGCCTAATCACATTTTCTTCTTCTTTTATTTATTTATTTATTTATTATTATTAATTCTTTTTTAGAAACGGTAAAAAAAAAAGAATAGAAATGGGAGTTTTTTTAGCTCCAAAATGTAATTTCAACAGCTTTCTCACAGATTCAGACAAAAATCCCATAATAATTCCAACAGACTACTGCAGACCACTGATCTTCATCGCCTCTTCATCTGATCGCTACTCATCACTACTACTTATTAAACCAACCAAATCTCCAAACCCCACACACTTTCTCTCACTACAAACCAAGAAGAAACTAAAAATGGCAGAAGCAGAAGACGAAGCAAAACCCACGAGGCTAGTGATCTGCGTCGGCGATATCCACGGCTACATCACAAAGCTCCGAAATTTATGGACCAACCTCGAAACCGCCGTCGGCCCATCTGATTTCCGATCGGCCCTCGTCGTTTTCTTGGGCGATTACTGCGACCGTGGGCCCCGCACCGACGAAGTGATCGACTTCTTGATCTCTCTGCCCTCGAAGTACCCCGACCAATCTCACGTGTTCCTCTGCGGCAACCATGATCTGGCGTTCGCCGCATTCTTGGGGGTTCTACCAACACCATCGGACGGCTCAGATTTGTCCGACACGTGGAGGGAGTACGCGATGAATGAGGAGAGAGAAGGGTGGTATAAGGGTTTGGGGTATGAGGGTATGCATTTGCAGGGGAGGAGGTGGGCTGGTAGAATGAGTGGATTCAATCATGCCAAGAATACCGAGTACAAGGGCTCGATTTACGATGCCGGTCCCACTTTCGAAGCCTATGGGGTCCCACATGGCTCTCCCGGTAATATATAGTTAAACCTCTATAAATTAATTAATTCAGCCTCGGGCAGCTAATAGTTTAGTACGTTTTTACCGAGTCGGGAGCATAAGAAATTATTATTACAGTGAAGTTATTAATTTATCGAGGTTCTAGTGTATATTCTTTCAAGAATTTGTTCTTGGAGTTGGTGGTTATGATCATGTTGTAGGTTTCTTGTTTTTTTCGAGTGATTGTGCTGAAATTAGTTTCTTTTCAGTGATTGAAATTCATGGCTCTGCTATGTTTAAAAATTGTTAATTGAGTCATCTATGTATAATAGCGTTATTCAGTTTACGTAGTAGTTTGATCTCAGCGAAGCCTTGTATGTGGAACCTTTTGGATAAATTACGTAGTAGTTTGATTTTAACACACAACCCTTTTTGTTCGGGTTTGTTCGATATGATATTGGATGACCATCTCGTTTAAAAGCCTGGCTAGAGTTAAGAGTTGGTCTAAATGGTAAATGTTGTCGTATTTCGGTACTGAGACGAGTTGCTACATATTTACAGATTTGATGAAAGCAGTTCCTGAGGAGCACAAGAAATTTCTCCGAGATTTGGTTTGGGTACATGAAGAGGTAAATTAACTTTACTTGTCTCGGTTCTTTTCTCAAAAGTTCCGCTCGTTTGTTCGTGAGTCATTTGCATGCATGGACTGGTAAAAAAAGAAAAATAACCGAACTGTTTAAATTTGCTAGGATGATGTCAGCATAGAAATGAAAGAGGGATTGCAAAAATGTAAAATGATTGCTGTGCATGCCGGTTTGGAGAAAGATAAAGGGGTTGAAGAGCAACTGAATTATCTGAAAAACAAAGACACGAGGATTTCTAAGGTCGAACCTCTCAGCGGAAGAAAAAACGTTTGGAACATACCCGAGGTGACACCTTTTTGCTTTTTTTTTTTTTTCTTGAAAATCGGGCGAAGGGGTTTTGAATAAAATTCTTTAATTTTTTTAAATAGGAATTGGCTAAAACTCCAACGATTGTGGTGAGTGGTCACCATGGAAAGGTACACGTCGGAGAGTTGAGATTGATAATCGATCGAGGCGGTGGCCTTGAGAGTAATCCAGTGGCTGCAATTGTTCTTCCATCGAAGAAAATGGTGCTTGATACTGATGAATTTGCAACTTAGTTTAGAAAATGTTTTCAAAGCCTATTGTAACTTTTAGCTGATGAAATTCCCTTTTCGTTTATTTTCTCTTGCGTAAGCCTGCGGTAATGCATTCTTCTATTTCTTTAAAATCAATCAAGAGTCGAGTTTGACGCAGTTGTTCGATATATTGGAGCTTAATTTTGAAGCAATGGAGAAGCTTAAAATTGTTTACAACCGATATAGGGGAAAATTGAAATATCCCCGATCCGACATGTGAAAATGAAAATCAATATAAATCGAAGAGGCAATCAAACGATAATCGCCTACTTTCAACATCGTACAAGGTACAACTCAACTGAATTACCAGCTTATAATACTTCTTGCCTTCCACATTAGTTGCCAAAATCCTTTAAACCACAACATACAAAATTCGTATGACAGAAACAAATCGGGTCCTAAACAAGTATACAACTTAATCTCTCCGAGAATATTCCCAACTATTCAGCAAATATCAAGAAACATAAACTCTTTTCTTACCTAGTTTTTTTCTCAGTAAACCAAAGTCGACAGGAAAAAAAAAATCAATTTTCATCACTTTCCGAACCATCAGAACTTGAACTATTTCCAGCGGGGCCCGTATTAGATCCATTAGCCACCGCTGATTTTACATCTTTACCCTTGACATCCTCATCATCTTCACTATACTCACTCTCGTAATCATCATCGTATTCTTCTCCACCTTCATCATCCTCCTCTTCACCTCCCTCCTCCAAAGACGGGATTTCATCCACACCAGTAATATTTCTCGTACCAGCCCTGCTTCGTTTCAAAACCTTAAACTTAATACTCGACTTCGCATCGCACCCAATCCAAGAATCGCACAAGCAGTACGAGGTCAGACCGTAATTTCCCTCACTAGGGGCCTGAAATTTCCCCATCACAAGCCTCGAACCAGATTTCACCTTATCCACCGCTACTTTGACAGCTGTGTTAATCTCCTTCGGGCTAGCACCGGAACCTTCTAGAAGCTCTTGAATGGCTTTCGAGGCGGCGATTATTGCAGTGGACTCGTCCATGAAGTTGACTTTTTGCGACATCCACACATCGTTCGATGATGAGTCAGCGAGGAGTAGCCAGAAATTCTCTTCCTTCTCGTAGGGGAAGAAGGGGGCGTGTGGTAGGGCGCGGATCAAGTTGTTTCGACGGTTGAGAGTGATCCAAGCCTGCATTGTTACAATATCGCCCTCTTGTATACCCTCTTCACCTTCGGTTTCGCATGTTATGTCGATTGAAATCGAAGGCATCATCTCCAGAACCACCTCCACATCTTGCAGTTCGTTGGCGGAAAAATCGGCGGCCTGAGTTAATAGCTCCGCTCGCTCTTGTTGGTTCATTTCACGGAGATCTTGGAATGAACGCACTTTCTGTACGTAAAGAAAAATAAGGAGTCGGGAATTTTATGAACGTAAATAGATCTAATTCCTGTACTAATTTAAAAATAAGATATCAACACTTGGTGAAGTAAATCAGAATGTGCAGTATACTCTCCATGGATAGGTAAATGGCTATTTGAACTTATGTAACAACTTCAAATACATTGCTGTCACAGAACACACACACACACACACACACACACACACACACACACTTATATAGGGGGAGAGGGAAAGAGAAAGTAACCTTTCTGGCAATCTTTTTGACAACCGACTCACTGAAGTGTGGCAGCTGGAGAAATGGACCATAGCCTTCGCTTGATGCACCAGTTGCTTTTCTTGCACTGAGGGGGACAGCCTGCGTTAAGAGCAAGCATTACTTTCTATATTATATGACAGCTGTAGGAACACAATGCACAGTCAGTATAAATTATATTACTCTGGAACTTGGAATACCTGGATTATACTTTGTGATAGCTCAATCACTCCAATTGCAGGTCTTAACCATCCGTGACCCTGTTGGGTGCGTGGTATAATCGCCATCTGCATGGAAGGAAAATTTTCTTTATAACCATCTAGAACTCCATACGATGTAATAAATGATTAAGAAATTGTAGCAGCAAGTTAAGAAGCATCAGTGAAAAAACAATAAACGTGACATAAGGCCCAGCTGTTTTTTCTTGTCTCGGTACAACTATAAAGTTGAGGAAAATTTGTCGGTGGAATAAACATTTATTCCGTGAATAACTCAAAATGGTGACGAGTAAATTTTATGGTAACAAGCGGATGAAACATCAGAGCATGGTCACGGGAATCTTTAAGGTCATGTTACCAATTAAATGGGTACAAAAATGAATTAAGAATAGCGAATGCAAGGTTGTTCTATAATCCTTTATGGCCGCGAGCCATCTGAAATAGTTTTCTTTATAAAGTACCAAACAAAGTTAAGTTTACTATAAATTCGGTGAGTGCTTCCTTCATTATATGCATACAATAGAGGCATAAAAAAGAGCTGCATCAAAGTCGACAAATATGACCAGCTAATAATACCTTCATTAGTTCTTCAAGAAGACGAGGTGCAAGGGCAAGCATTTTCTTGAAATCACTCTGCAAATTTGGAGATAATGCTGTGGTTTCACGGGTGAGATGTGCTTGCATCAATAATTCAGACTGCAGAGGAAAAGCGGATACAATTAAGAAAAGGAAAAGTATATTAAAGCACTCAAACCCGACAACTATTATAGGTCACCTTTACTAAAGCAGGATGTTGCTTCCAGAACTTAGCTTGTTCTTGTCGGATGTTTCTAAGGTCCAGATTTAGCTCACTCCTCACCAACACAAACAATTTCTGAAGAGATTCTTCATCAGTTCGACGAACTGGAATTTCCATGTATTCAGCCGCCCTAATGAAAACTTCCATGACCTTGCTGTACCATGAAAAAACAATATTAATAACTCCACAAATGAAGATTGTCTGGTACAGAATTGTCACAATCAGTTGACAGACAAAAAGGACAAAGTAAAGGAATGAAAAATACATTATATAAGATGCACCAATATTGTGAGTGAGCATGTTCGTGGACAACTATGTAGCAATTTTTAATTTTTTTTGCATCAGAAGCATGGAAGGATATTCCAAAAGTGCCCTTGTTCCATATCAGACCGTACAATAGAGCATCAATTGCTTGATAACGAAGAAGAAATGGTACAATATTAATATCTATGTTCTATCAAATACAATAAGATATGAAAACTCAAGATTGAAAGCAATTTGAATAGAAAACATTATAGGCAGAATACAGACTGTAGAAAACATTTCTATACCTCGGAGCCAATGAGGGCTTCATAAAGTGGTAGTAAGCATACATCGTCTGATGCATGACATAATTGCCAGTATATTTCGACGACCTTGACAAGTATATGACAGCTATAGTCAGTGGTAAAAGAATACAAACTCCTACAATCCCAAGTAGCATAATTCCACCGGATGCTCCATCGCTGTTCAGAAGGAACTGAGGGAGAGCAATCCCCATTTGAAGGCCCTACATGATTTAAAAAAAAACAAAAACATAGGTCCACTTTCTTCATTGAAACCAGTAAAAAAAAAAACGAGCATTTAAATGAAAATCATCCCTTATCAAAATTACCTGTCTGCCATCAGGATGGCCATATTTCTCAAAGTTCTCACGTGATACGGGATCGGTTAGAGCCTGATAAGCCTTGGAGATAAAATCTATAAAGTACTTGTGAGCCTCTGCAAAGAAAGATTTATGAATCATTAAGAAACAGCAACAAAAACCCTTTGTCATGTTGGTTTTGAAGGAAAAGCTATTGCAACAAAATGTAGTCATTAAACAAACACCTTCAAACCTGGGTCTGGATTTTTATCGGGATGGTATAAAATGGAAAGTCTCCTGTATGCCTTCTTTATATCTGAATCTGAAACTCCGGGTTCTAATCCAAGTATGCTGAATGGCTCAAAAATTTGAACCTGTGAAATCATGATATACATTTAGATTTTTGAAGAGGCAAGTTAGACAAGACATAGTTACTAAGGTGACTATTTTTTTTTTTTTTTTGCACGTTGTGTCATATTTGAGCACTTCGCTTAGAAATTACGATTGAATGACATTTTATCTCGGCATAGCTAATATAGCACACAAAATTTCCAAGACAATAAAGACGTCTAACAGAACCAAAAGGTGATCTGGAAATAAATTGATAAACATGTCATGGAAACATCGAGACATACTTTTTGGCTACAAATAGAACTTTAATTCCAAATAGATTAATTACAAACTCACAGACGATGGAACAGATAATAAAAAGAGAAAATACCTCAGTGTTGATATGCTTGATGTAGAAAACCAATAGCGCTACGACGAGCCAGAGCAACACTACTGTCAGGTTACTATAAGTTGAAAAGTTTGAAATCTGAAATTTTCACAGAAACCCGATAAATTTAGAGAGCGCTATAGCTATAAAGTATACAGAAAAAAAAATGAACTGGCTAACGTGATTCAAAAAAACACAGATAGATACTTACACGTTTGAATATTGATTTCCGATACTTCCCTGAGCGGAAGCAAGACGAACAATGGCAATATATACTCTTGGTTTTCTTTTTGAATGTGAGGTATAAATTGACAAAAGTATACGGCACTAGAGGCAGCGAAATCATTGTCAATACAAAGATGGGAAAAAGCGCACTGTTCTCTTCAGATGATGCAGCCATAGCTAACTTCTATAGCTTCTCAAGCTGCAATCGTCAAATTCATCGAAAATCTCATTTAATTTTCATTCTAAAATCAGCAACAAGTATGAACATCAAAGATCAAAACTTTTTAGATTCTTAGCAGAAATTTATGAAATTAACTGTTCGCATTTCCACATATTTATTTCCTCATTTCAGGCACATCAATCAAATAATAGCTTCTGAATCGATAAGGAAATGAAATTAATCAGAACCGAGTGACAAAGAATTGATCAATTAAGGAATGAATAGAGGATTAGAACAGATCAATTTACCTGATTGGAATAAAAAATGAACAGTTAATCGGAGTGATTGATACCTGGCAGGAAAAACTCGCCGGAGTTGTGCTGCAAACTGAGCCGAGCTGCAGGAGAAATTGGGGAAACCGGAGTGAAGCTGAATAAATAATCAGCCCTAGATTTTTATTTTTTGCTGAATCTTGAAAGAATGAAGAAATTGATTTGAGAAATATCAACACGGATTGGATTTGCAATATTTAGAAATTTCAAAAGATGGAGAGGAAAATTGGACTGAAAGCAAGCACGTGGCCCATTTTCTATTCTAGAAAATTGGACTGAAAGCAAGCACGTGGCCCATATTGCAGAATAGGCCGTAGACAATGGGCCTATGAAAGAAATCGATAAAACTGAAGAGATTTGTTTTTCGGTACAACGAATTAACGCGTTCAGATAAAAATGTGCAAGTTTTTTTTTTTTTTTTTTTAACGGGACAGAGTGCATAACGACTCAAAGTTTTGGGGGCAAATTACTTTTTACCCTTAAAATGATGTGCAATATATTACAAATTTATATATATTATATAGCATGTAGAAATATATTAACTATTTAAGGAAAATTGGCTGAAAATCACTCACTCCACACAGTATATTATTTCTACAAATTCTCCCCTCTTTTTTTACAATGAAGGAACCCAAAATCAACTATATATGTGCACTATGTATACCTATATTCTTCTACAATAGCTTACAAACCATACGCAGTAAACTATATTAAGCTAACTATGTGTGGCAAGCTCAACCTAACTATCGTTGGCAAGAGATTCAATGTGACTAAATAGTAAATTAGGATTGACAAAATTCAAAGTAAATCAGGTTTGAAGAAAAGAAAAGGTTGAAGTATGCTATTTTCTTTTTCGTAGATAAGAAGTATGCAATTAGAGGGTGTTTGGCTAAGTTTATTTTAAACAGCTGATAAGCTCTTACGTCTGATAAGATGTTTTAAGAGTTGATAAGCTGTTATATCTTATTTTTAGGATTAATTTTTAGAGTGTTTGGATAATAAGTTTATTTCCTATTTTTACTCATTATAAGATCTTAAATAAAAAGGTGGGGTAGAGGTACCTTTTTAAAAAGATCTTATTTGCTCTCCAACAGCTTATTTTTTAAAATATTAACATCTTTTTAAAAAAAAATTACCAAACACTTTGGAAGAGCTTATAAGCTCTAAAACATCTTATTAACTCATTTTAACATCTTATAAGCTTAGTCAAACACCCTCTTAATATCTGTATGCTTAATGATGTTGTTAAAAAATCACATTTAGTACTAAGAATTTAAAACTATATACTAAGGTCTCACATTTGTTCAATTCACGAATTTACCTTTTCCATTTTTGAAAATTAATTATTTGATACAAAACAAAATAGTAAAAAAATAAATTATTTGATAGTTTCAACTATTATTTATTTCAAATTTCATTCATAATTGAATTATTAATACTTTTTAGGAGAGTTAATATTACAATATTCAAAAGATAACATGAAATCTATTTTACAATATTATGTCTTTAAAATTGGTGGGAGTATGATGCAGAAATCATATGTTGGCTTCATTACTGTATATATGTGTATTTTTAGGCTCCGTTTGGTTGAGAAGATAAGATTAGTCAAGATAAGATTAAATAGTCTAATGAAACCCAATTATTTTATTGGAGGTTGCAACGTCCAACAAAAAAAACACACTAGAATGCAAGATAAACCATGATTACATAATTTTGGCAGGTCGACCCGGCAATTTATTGGGGATACCAAACATCAAATTAAGTCCACTATTTAGTTAATATTGGTTTATCTAGGCAACCAGACGGAACCTTATTCTCCTAATATGTGTGCGACCATCAACTTATTTTGGACCAACAATGTGTCATGTTTCCATGGTTCTTAGGGACTAAGTATGATCCAACAAGCAAGTCCAATGGAAGATGACCAAATTACATTAAAGTGTATGATAGATATGTAGAAATCCTTACAAAATTATAAAAGAATTTTTAGAATCCACCGTTATATATGTTTGATAGGAAATCTTTGTAGTGTTCTAGAGACAACTCCTAGTTATTAGATCAAGATGATCAATGCCGTCTGTTAAGGAGGTGGAGTTGTATAAATAGGGATATATCATTTATTTCTAACTCATCCAATTGACTTAAGTTATTTGCAAGGGAAGAAGTTTGAGTAAACGAATAGCGTAATTCATGGCTAAGAGCCGCATGTTATTTGATCGATCAATTCCATGATAGCGGTATTTTGTTGTTTGTGTGATTCTCGCACGTCTCACCGTTCCTTTCGACTTTGAGCTTATGATCACTTGCAAACACTTGGGGAGATCTCGGTACAAATATTAAGCCCCTCAAAATTACATTTAATTGAAGAGAATATGCATATGTAAAAAAATGAATGTATATCCATTTGAGCAAAAAATGCAAATATTTTATATTGTGAATATCCCACATGAAACTCACGACGATGTCTAACTAGCGGCCATAAAGAAATTCTTTCACTTCCTTCCCGTCTTTGCTGTCTAACTAGTGGACATAAAGAATTCTTTCACTTCCTTCCCATGTTTGATGGTAATGGCTTAATTTACTTATCATATTTAAGTTTGACATGTTGAACTTCCTTCCCATGTTTGATGGTAATGGCTTAATTTATTTATCATATTTAAGTTTGACATGTTAAAGGTTTATGATCGCCTTGAACTTCCTTCCCATGTTTCATGGTAATGGCTTAAAAGTTTGACATGTTGAAGGTTTATGATCACCTTGAATTGAGGTTTTTATTTAGAGCATTGAAGACTCCGCTTATGATCTTAAATACTATCCAGGTGAATAATTGTACGAGTCAATACAAGTATTACATTTTAAAATATGAGACAAAATTATTATTGTCATATTATAATATTATAAGTTCTGTGATTCTATTTTAAGCAAATGCTTTAAACTTAAATTAAAATAAGAAATAAAATATCACAAATTTAAATATATTCTATGACTTGTTAAGGAATCTTGAAATTAGATTCAAAAATTAAATCACAAATTAATAAATAAATAAATATATATATATATATATATTATATATATATATATATATATATATATATATATATATATATATATATATATACACACGTGTCGGTTCTGAGTCAGTTTCAATAAGATTCATTACCCAGCCCAGAAGAACCGTTTAATTTACCAAACCCATCCAAAACGGCTCGATTCCGGGTCTAAGACCCAACAAACCCTATCTATTGTCATCCCTGCTTAAACCACTCCTAATACAACATAATATAATTTTGTACCAAACCACATTATCTTATCTCAATGCTTAACCAATAACAAGAAGAAAAAAAGTATTATTTTGTTTCCCATTAAAAAAAAAAGAATAAAAAAAAAGAAAAAAAGAATATGCGATTTGGTCAGAGAGATACTAAAAAGGAAACGATAAAACAAAGGAAAAAAAAAGAAAAGAAAATCAAAGAATCAACAACCACACGTATATATTTTGGGTGTGGGTTATTTTGGAAGAGATATTGCTTAAGCCCATGTGATGAGAGAGGCCCACGCGCCAAGATCGGACGATGATGGTGCGACTGGTGGACCCCACCTACCCCAATCTCCCATGCAAAAATGATGCAATTCCAATTCCATCACACGTAGCTCTTTCTCCTTGGCCGCTGGTTTACACTCTCTCTCACTCATTATCGCCAACCTCTTCACGGATTTCATGGCACCTTGAATCTGTCACAATCAATTATTATTTTTTTGATTTTTTTTCTTCTTCATTTTCTTTTCGCAAGCCAACAACAAAGGGAAATTTTAATTATTTTTGGTGGAATGGTTTATACGCTACCTGGGGTGCGATTGCCCACCGTACCATCGGCGGCGTACAAGGTGGGAAGCTGCGGTTTGGGCCATGTCGATCGGAGGAGTGCCGCCCATCTCCGTTTTTTACTCAAAAACAAATCCCAATCGCGTAAGTGAATTCGAAATTGTGTGTGTGTTTTTTTTTGTTCATTTTCTTCAATGGCATCGATTATTCTGTTAGCTGAATGGAGTTTAGGTTGAAATTGATCTGTTCTCGCATCGGGAATTAAGCTTAGGGGTTTGATTTTGGAGGTAAATTGTATTTATAACACAGTGACTGGAGTGAATACGAGTGCAGATGATTCAGTCGATCGTCGATTTTAGTTCAATTTCTTCATGGTGTTATGGTGGATCATCTTCTTCGATCATGTCATTTTTTCCCCCAATTTTAGGATCTTCAGTAATGTCAAATGTGGTTTAGCGGTCACTGAATTTGGGGGAAGCTCCCTGCGTTGGTGCCCGTGTGTGGCTAGATTATTGGGCTAAATGCGATTCTCGAAATAGTAAATGCAATTCAGAAAATTTAAATTGTCGAAATGACTGTTCGTAGCAAGATTTGGCTAAATCTAGTGCTTATTTGCTATTTGCAGGGATGATATTTTCAGGTGGAAAGGCTTACGAGTCGGGCTTTCAACCTAGTATGGCAACTGCACCAGAGAAGGTGCTTGTTCCAGGCACTGAGAGTGACGGCTCTTCTTCCCCGAGAGAGAATTTAGAGATAGTTTCAGGCACTTCACAGGCATGTCAGATTTAAATCCCTTTGCCCCAGCCGAATATAATAGCATTCTACTGGGGCCTAGTAAACTAGTAAACCGATTTTTTCTTTTTCGGAAAAGAGAATAGAAAAGAATAACACAACCACTATTTCCGGTTTTGCAATGTTGGTTTGGTCTAAAAACTGACTCAAGTATGCACTTACTTTTAGGCGCTTCTTTGAGCTACTATAATTTAATTTTCCCGTTGCCCCTGTTCGAAATCTGGGATTTCATTATTTAGCCTGGAAAACCAAGATTTCCAAATTATCAAGAACATACTTAAAGATATGTAATTCAAGAAATAACCTTTAAGAGAGAAAATTGGTTTGAGTCGGTGGTTTTGATAATTGATTTGTAGCAGGTGATTTTCTTCTTTAACCTTGAGGTTTGAGACTAAGTGTAGATGCCTAGATGGACTGTGTAGATTATACTACATACTGCAAAAAAAAAAAAAAAAAAAAGGAGCTCAAGTAAATCTGACATTGCTACTTATTATCTAGTACATCGAAGTTGAATGATTTTACTTCATTTTCCTGTGATAAACATTTACATGATATAAGATCATTAATAAAGAATATTAACGGAGGATAGGCGAAGCCATTCCATTCAAGTATTTATTATGCTTTATTTGGATTCTCCTTACGTGTTAACTGTATGCGTATAACCTGGATTCTTAACTTCAATTTGGTCTATATTCTCCAATACTTAGAACATCAGTTTGTTCTCTCTTCATTGATTTTCTTTTCCCCGTGTGATTTCTTTTCCTAGATATCAGGTAATCTAGAAAGTGTAGATGGACCGATCGTTAAAGAACAAGAACAGTTGATTGAGCAACAAATTTCTGGTGAAGCAATTAAAGGGAAAGATTCCGCCTCTGTACAACTACTAGATGAAGATGCTGGATTAAATACTGAAGGAAAATCATACTCGATATCTAAAACAATAGCTGACGAATCTTCAATGGTCAAAGAAAGGGTCATCCCTCCACCTGGAGCCGGTCAGAAAATATACGAAATAGATACACTTTTGACCAATTACCGCGAACATCTCGATTATCGGTGAGCTTGTCCGGACCAACTCTGCTGAAATATGAATGAATATATTTTTAGGTTTTCGAAATTTTATGTTCTTATTATAATAAACTATTAGAAACTTAAAGCTTCCCTGTGTTCTTCTCCATTCATGTTAGGACACTCCTAAATCTAATTATGAACTTGTCGTTCGAGCTTTCTGACAGTGTTTAACAATTTTTGGAGCTGCATTTATAAATTAGAAGTTGATTTATTTGTTTGTATCACGACATCTTTTTGTTTTTTCTTTTTACAGGTACGGCCAGTATAAAAAATTACGTGACGCAATTGACAAGTATGAAGGTGGATTGGAAGTGTTTTCTCGTGGTTACGAGAAACTTGGTTTTAATCGCAGGTATGTATCTAGGTTCTGTGTAGGTATCTTCGTAGCATCATTAAAGATTCTTAGTCATCCCTCACATAAATGAAATTTCACGTGACATCTTTCTTGAAGTCGTTTTCTGAAAAAGGAAGCACATATTATGTGATTATCGATAGAATTTCTTGATTAAAGAAAATCAATCATACGATATATCGATACTAAAAGTTTCTCTAAATTTGTATTGGCAGTGAAACGGGTATTACTTACAGGGAATGGGCACCTGGAGCCAAGGTTAGTGCTGCTCATCGTTTTCGTATATTAATAAAAAGGATATATGCTGCAGACGACGTCTAAATTAGTATCTTAGGCACATAGTTCTCATGCCGACTCTAATTTGTTCCGAAACAATTGTTTTTTTTTTTAATAATATTTTTCACCTTTTTCTTCTTTAATTCGTTGTTTTTATAATAATTTTATTTTTTACAATTCTAACTCAGTCGGCGTCACTTATTGGAGATTTCAACAATTGGAATGCTAATGCTGACGTCATGACTCGCGTAAGCTTTTGTTTCTCTATCCTCATAGTATTGCTAGAAAATTTCCTTATCTTGCAATATTCGTTTTCTTCTTAAACCTGTTATTTTTTATTTCTCGTTACATTTTGGTTTACGATATTATCTATCTATTTCCGTTACACAATTAGACTCACTGAGCTTTTTAACAGAATGAATTTGGTGTTTGGGAGATCTTTCTACCGAACAATGCAGACGGATCTCCAGCTATTCCCCATGGTTCCCGTGTAAAGGTAATATTTCTCTTAACTAGTAATTTTCGTAACTAGTTAAAAATTGAATAACTTCTTATAATGTATAGAAATATTATAATTTTTTTATAATGACCGAATAATCACCATCATTAATTCCTTATGTATTTTAAATGTAGATTCGTATGGATACTCCATCTGGTATCAAAGACTCTATTCCAGCTTGGATCAAGTTTTCTGTGCAGGCTCCCGGTGAAATTCCGTATAATGGAATATATTACGATCCTCCAGTAGAGGTACCGCAGTTTTCTCTATTTGTTGTATTTGCCTGGCCACTAATTACTATTGGATAAACGATGAAGATTTATCAAGGTATACTTCCTGTCTTCTCTTCATGTTGGCTTAGGATACTCTTTTGTAATATATTTGCAGGAAAGATATGTTTTTAAACATCCTCGTCCGAGCAAACCGAAATCTCTCCGGATATATGAGTGCCACGTTGGAATGAGTAGCACGGTGTGTATCTATTCTCTCTTATGAAATACATTGGAATTCTATGTTTCTCTTACATGCAAAACCATTTATGTATAATTTTTACCTGTATTTTATGTAGCATTGATGCATGTGGTTTCAATTTGTAAATTTCTGTATTGAATAAAGCTACAAAATGCCGTAACTTGAACAGATGATAAAACTGGATAAATTAGATATGTTCGATTCATTTTGTGAAAAAAATTCTGAAAATGCCAATAATTTGCATAGGAAAACAACATTGAACAATATGAACCGAAAATATAATTATTATTTTATGTATAAATAGATATTTGGTCAATTCAATTGGCAGGGAAAAAATAAGATCTTCAAATCAACACATGCCAATATAACTGAAGTTGCTGACAATCTCCGAACTATTTTTTTTTTTCCTCAAAAAAAAAAAAAAAAAAAAAAAGAAGAAAAAAGAAAGAAATTTCGATCTGATGTTCCAAATGTTGGGTATTCAGTATTTTTAACTGAGTCATATTTTTTCCCGACATTTGATGCAGGAGCCTGTTATAAATACATATGCCAACTTCAGAGATGAAGTGCTCCCTCGAATCAAGAAACTTGGATATAATGCTGTTCAAATAATGGCAATTCAGGAACATTCATACTATGCCAGTTTCGGGTAACGGGTCCCACTCCATTCGATACGTAGTTTACCTCGTCATTGTCAAACTAGTACTTGCAAAGTCCTCTGAGTTCCGTCCTTTCTCCTATCCGATTTTTATGTTTTTTTTTAAATGTTGGCTTTTGACAAAATATTTTGTTTGCTTGCGTCAGTTACCACGTGACAAATTTCTTTGCGCCAAGCAGTCGTTTTGGCACTCCAGATGATCTCAAGTCCTTAATAGATAAAGCTCACGAGTTGGGATTGGTTGTTCTCATGGATATCGTGCACAGGTATATTAAGATTTTTACACCAGTATTTATGATTTATACATCCGAACATTTTATTCCATTAGTATATTAGCAACGAAGCTCATTTTAATTTTCGATACAAATTCTAAATTCCAGAATCTTTTAGTTTTGTACGGACCTTGGATTCTGACATTCTAACATAATTAGGTTTGCAACAGTAAATGGTCTGTGAATTTCAAGCATTGTCGCTCGCTAATAACCTGTATTTAGCTGAACTGCAAATATTCTCTTACAATATTTTGTTTCCACATGTTCCGAGTTTTTGCGTTCTTGGTTCGATATGCAGTGCATTACTGCATTTGTCTTAGCAAATTTTGTTGAAAATCTTTTTCTTCAACCACAAGGATAAAGTTATGCATGGTCATAAATCTTTTCAACACTACATTTGTTAGATAATTTGATAGATTATATAATATTTAGTAGATTTATGCTTATCTCAGAGAAAACTTCGTTTGTTACGGATTTATTATTAATTTGAAATTCCTCCCTCAAATCTTTCCGTCCAAATGCACCCGCACCCGTCATGTATCTTAGGTCATAGTTCTTGATTAAACTAGTGTTCGCTTTTTTCGTCGTTGTATAGTTCTTCTGCAAGAAATTCTTTTATCTTTCATTGACATCGAGAAACTCTCGATATCTGCAGCCATTCATCGAACAATACGTTGGATGGACTGAACATGTTTGATGGCACTGATAGCTGTTACTTCCACTCCGGCACACGGGGCTATCACTGGATGTGGGATTCTCGTCTTTTCAACTACGGACAGTGGGAAGTATGTACTGTCTGGATTTACAATGTCACAAGAATATGTTGCGAATGTCTTACAATTTTCTTACCAGAATCGGCTTCTAACATACGCCTTCAATTCTAGGTTTTAAGGTTTCTTCTCTCTAATGCGAGATGGTGGTTGGATGAGTACAAGTTCGACGGTTTCAGATTTGATGGTGTGACGTCAATGATGTATACTCACCACGGTTTACAGGTACTATACGGAAAAACAACGTCACTTTTTATAAGGATTATTCTGATTTTTGACTTTCAAGAATATTTTGTTTCTATGCATTGTACTCGTTGATCTTGATTCTCGACTAAGAAATATTTCTTTTTTAAAAAGATGGCATTTACAGGGAACTACAGCGAGTACTTTGGATTTGCGACAGATGTCGATGCTGTAGCGTATTTGATGCTGGTTAATGATCTCATCCACGGGCTCTTTCCCGAAGCCATAACCATCGGGGAAGATGTAAGTTTCTCTGAATCATGTCGAAACAATTTACTACGTGCTTCGTTATTTTATTTCCATTTAATCTTTGTTTCTATTCTTTGAATTTCAGGTCAGTGGTATGCCTGCTTTCTGTATTCCTCTTCAAGATGGAGGTATGGGATTCGACTACCGTCTACACATGGCAATCGCTGATAAGTGGATCGAAACTCTCAAGTATGTTGCCCTTCTCAAATTCTTCTTCGAGTTATTGTTCATTAGAGTATCACGAAAAAAAAGTGCGATTTCGATTCTACAAAATGGATATTTCTTTTACTTAATTTCCTTTTTTTTTTGGCGCATGGAGTTGGGATAAAACAATCAGAGATCAGAGAAACAAAAATCATGAAAAAACATACAATACAAACTCCCTTCGCCTTCTAGATTCGATCAAATACGATATTTTCACTATAGAATATCAAATTTTAAATTTCGGTATCTCCTTTTTTTCTGGATTATTATTTTAATGCAGGAAAAGGGACGAAGAGTGGAGCATGGGAGATATTATACACACACTTACAAATAGAAGGTGGCGGGAAAAATGTGTTTGCTATGCAGAAAGTCATGACCAAGCCCTCGTTGGAGATAAAACTATTGCATTCTGGTTGATGGATAAGGTGATACATACTTTTTTATTTAAAAATTACGCCAGAACAAAGTATACGTGTCCTATTAGTAATTCTGAAAATGAGATGGTCTGTATCTATTTTCTCAGGATATGTACGACTTCATGGCTGTGGATAGACCATCGACTCCTTTGATAGACCGTGGAATAGCGTTACACAAGATGATTAGGCTTATTACAATGGGATTAGGTGGCGAAGGGTACCTGAATTTCATGGGAAATGAATTTGGACATCCTGGTACAAACACGAACCCTTTTCTTTTTTTTTTTTTTGGCAAGAATTCGTATTTTGTGTACACGAGAGAAAATCATTTTTATTTGGGTAAAAGACAACCACCCCTGAGGTACAGTCAAATTACCAAAACCCCCCCTCATGTTTGGATAATTACAACCACTCCCCTCAACTATAAATCTTCTTACACGTCCACCGTTATAGTGTCAAATTCAACATAATCTTCTAGTTTGTACAAAACTTGTTTTGTGTAAAAATGCAGTTTCTGATACACCACAATCTGATATATACAAGCCAAAAAACACATCTTTATGATCATCGTGCTTCAAAATGTGTAGCTCGAATGGGATAAAATGGGTATACAGTTGAGAATATTCCATATAATCTAAAAGATTCCACTAAATTTGACACCGCAAGGGTGGACATGTAAGAAGATTTATAGTTGAGGGGTGGTTGTAATTACCCAAACATGAGGGGTTTTTCGTAATTTGAACATACCTCAGGAGTGGTTGTAATTTACCCTTTTTATTTTCTAAAATCCAAAGAAATTTTTATTAACTCCTTGGAATTTTTTATTTTTTTTTTCTTCTTTCAGAGTGGATAGATTTTCCGAGAGGCGACCAACATCTTCCCGATGGCAGAGTCATTCCAGGAAATGGCAACAGTTACGACAAGTGCAGGCGTAGGTTTGATTTGGTAAGTTATGCCCTCAATTAAGCAAATCATTATTTTACGTTTTTTAGATTCCTTGCCAAATTTCCTGCCTTGCTTGAAACTGATGATTGGATAAAGTTCTTTAAGCACCTCAAAAATTACGAAATGGCACTTCGGCTTATTTTTAAAGTTCTTATTGGACTTGAGTTTGTAGACAAAATGAAGACTGTTTACTGTATATTACAAGAATGGTTTTACGTATCTGTTTCTTTCATTCACAAAATTTGTTATAATTTCTCAAAAGAAATTATTAGCTATAGTTTTTGGCTCGTGCTTCGGCATCCTAATCGAAAAATTACATTATTGATAAAAGAAAATACAAATGTCTTCAATTTAACGTTTTGATGCATATCCAGGGTGATGCAGAGTATTTAAGATATCACGGGCTGCAAGAATTTGACCAAGCAATGCAACATCTCGAAGAAAACTACGGCGTACGTATTCTCTTGCACCAATTTCTCGCCTTAATTACGTGATTTATTTTTCGTTAAGCGCAGGAATAACATTAATAATTGCTTAAGATTATTGATATGCATTGTTCCTCCTATGTTATTTTAAGATTATTGTTTAAGGATCTTGTTTTATTCTACTGCTTTACAGTTTACGGTTAAAAAATCTAGAATGGAAATATTTTTGCAGTTCATGACATCAGAGCATCAGTATATATCGAGGAAGGATGAAGCAGATAGGGTGATCGTATTTGAAAGGGGGAACTTACTCTTCGTCTTCAATTTCCATTGGAGTAAAAGTTATTCAGATTATCGAGTAGGCTGCTTAAAGCCCGGAAAATACAAGGTATGTCGAGAAAAAGTTATTTTTTCCTCTTTCAAGGTTGTTCGTATTCCTTTGTCGAAAAATCAATGCTATCCTACACTTTTCAGGTTGCTTTGGACTCGGACGATAAATTATTCGGAGGTTTCGGTAGAATCAGTCACGAGGCCGAGTATTTCACCTCTGTAAGATGATCTACCTCCGATTTTAGTATAAATTATTGGTCACACTTCAAAATTATTTAAAAAAAATAAAAAATGATATTTTCTTGAATATGATGTAAAACAGGAAGGGTGGCAGGACGACAGGCCTCGTTCGTTTTACATATACGCACCTTCTAGAACAGCAGTCGTCTATGCCTTGGCAGAAGTTGAAGCAGAACCAATCGATGTCCAAGTTAGCCCTAACGTTTGACAAGTTTAATGTTAGGTGACACAATTCAAGTTATCGCCGCCCTATGTGGGCCCCACCAAAAAAGCCTTCTAGAAGCAAGCAACTGAGACGAAAAAAGATGCAAAGGCAGGGAGGCAACCACCAGTTAAGTAGTTATATGAATCGCTAATGGCATCAGCATAAATTCCGTACATGTTTATAATATATCCGCAAGCTTCAATACTTGTGTGTACGGAAGTCGAACGACCCTTTTTTTTTTTTTTTTTTTCTTTCTCCCTAGTGTACATTCTCTTAATCCTGGTTGGTGACGGATTTTTTTTTTCTTTCTGAAATAAGATAACTAATCCAGGAGATATACTGCTTCGTTACGTACGATGTTAAATCCGACCGGATTGTTTTTGCACTGACGTTTTTATTATGGATTTTGCTTATTTGGCCTTAACATTATTGTCGATACATCATCATGTTCACTTTGTTCCGGGTTTGAATCTCCGATGAAATGTAATTTTAAATGCGGCTAAATTACATTTCACCCCTTGAACATTGACCGGCAGGAAATTGAAGTTAAATTAGAGTTTGTGGATGGAATTGAAGTACACTAAAAAATTGATGAATTTCTACATAACCTATTTTGGATAAATTTCTATGACTCTATTTTGAATTTTCTTAATTAATGAATTGAATACGAATGTGTTGCCTTAAATTGTATATTTAGTCTTCTAGTTGACCAACCGCCGACCCCGGCATTTGAAATACGTACCATGTTTGTAAAAATAATGGGTAAATTACAACCACCCCTGAGGTATGGTCAAATTACGAAAACACCTATTTTGTTTGGGTAATTACAACCACCTCCCTCAACTATAAATTTGCTTACACGTCCACCCTTGCGGTTTCGAATTTAGTGGAATCTTTTAGATTATATGGAATATTATCACTTTTGTAACCGATTTATCCCATTGGAATTCCACATTTTGAAGCAAGATGATCATGATATGTGTTTTTTGGCTTGTGAATATCAGATTCTGGTGCATTAAATATTACATTGTACACAAAACGAGTACAAACTAGAGCACATTCCACGAAATCTAGATGATTATGTTGAATTTGACACCATAAGGGTGGAGGTGTAAGAAAAAATCATAATTGAGAGAGGTAGATGTAATTATCCAAACAAGAGGAGGTTTTTCGTAAATTCACCATACCTCAGGGTGATTGTAATTTGCCCAAAAATAATTGTAAATATCCCATTGTCTTATTGATCAACTTGGAAAAGACAAATAAAAAAATAATCCAAAATCATAATAGACTTTGGACTTTGTTTATGTCTCTTTAACCAATTAATTATGGTTTTCTACAAACAACCTAAAATAGGTGAAATAAGGAATCATAATTGTCGGATAATGCAGGCCGCTGTATATTTTGACCAGCTTTTCTAATTAATTACTAATTAATTAATTAATTAATTTTGGTGGCTTAATCAATTTTTTTTTTTTTTGAGTAAAGCTTAATCAAAATTACTACGAGTCTAAATCTTTCGGATAATTCCACATGCATGTGGATGAAAATATAATGCCAAATATATTCATGTCATTTATAATCTATAGATAAATCTCTATAAATTAATAGAGTCTGGACGAACAAAATCTTATTAATTTAGTTAAATATTAAATTATTGAACTAATAATTTAATAGATTTTTACCGAATCAGGACCAGAAGAAATTATTTAAACGAGGTTATTAGTTTATCAAATATGAATTTATCGAGGTTCTACTACAGTACTCCCCTTTTCTCTGATTAAAGTTTACTTGGTCTAAGGTTTACTTGGTCTAGATATAGAATTGGTCCTAATTCTTAGTTATTTGGTCATCAAATTAATAACAACTTTTTGTTGTACTGTTGTGTGGAAGTTTCTTCATTCATCTATTATGAGCATGTTTGGCTAAGTTTATTTTAAATAATTGATAAGCTCTTATATCTAATATATAACTGATTTTAAAAATTGATAAGTTATTAAGTTTTACTTTTAAAATTATTTTTTTAAAGTGTTTGAATAATGATCTAATAAATTATTTTTACTCATTTTATGATCTATTAAGTCCCACAATGGTGTTTTTTTTTTTCGTTTCCTAGCCGAAGCTTTGGCATGACTTTAATATAATCCAATGAAATTTGGCCATTTGTCTCCACATCATCTCCTCTTTGTCGAACAAATCATCAAGCTTCCGGAATAACTCGATGGTCTCCTTGTCGTTTACTCGGATCTCCGTCCTTTCTTGAGCATAAAAATCTTTTTTTTTATTTTTTCAACCCACTTCTTTACTTCTCCAAATGAACATGAGCTCCATTGTTTCAATCTCAACCGATAAAACCGCATCTCCATTGTTATGCATTTTATTCGTGTAATGTAACTTGATGTGAATAGGTACGTACGTGATACGAATTTAAACTCTCCAGATGCACAATATGAAAATTTAGAGACAAATTTCTCCAATCAATTCACCGTCGCATGTTTAGTAAGCAACAAGAATATTATCAATTATCAAGCGGGCATAAATGAATACAGATTGGGGCTCCGAAACAAAAGCAGTCGCAAAAGTACCTAACCGATTCACTATGCACCACATTACTTAAATGTAGGTAGGTCCTTATATTTTGGGCCTATATATAATAAGATTTAACACAAAACTCACATGTAACAAATTATTTTAATTACATTATTAAAAAAAATGATGAAAACACTTGTTAATTAATAATTTATAAAAAAAATATAAAATCATGCACAAAATTAGAATCTCTTGCTTCGTTAATGTGTTGAATAGTACAACTCAATGTAGAAACAAAAATTGTTTAAAATCTTGTTAATATTGATTGTGGACATATGTGGATGAATAGTCACTTTATTACACAGATGGAGAAGATGGTTCCATTTGGGGAAGCAGGGACCAATCCCAATGCACTGACCATTTCAGATATTATTTTCCTTTACTATTTCATTTCACATTTCAAATTCTTCCACTTTCCATTATTTATTTATTTTTCCTACAAAATAAACAATATATTGATATTGTGCACTAATTAATTGTACCACAAATACGACCACACCTGAGATAAGATCATATTACGAAAAACTTATTTTGTTTGGGTAATTACAACCACCTCATTAATTATGTATTGTCTCTTACACAGTCAGCCTGATGATGTCAAATTTATCTACTGAACAAGGGGTACGGTAGACAATATATAGTTAAGGGCAATGATTGTAATTATCAAAACAAAAAAGGTTTTTTCGTAATTTAACTTTTTCCAAGGGGGTGACCGTAATTTGCCCTAAATTCTATTATTTTGTAACTGCCGTTAAATTATTTTGGAGGTGTAATATGTACTAGGCAAATTCTGCGCGACGAGTTTGATTTTCTTGTCGATATTTTCTTACTTGAACCTAACATTATTTAAATTTTTCGTGTCGTTTGTAAGCTATTATATAAGAGACGAATCTATCTGTATATATTAGTGCGAATTCCTTTGGCCAGCATTTGTTTTCTTTTAATATTGATGAGTACTCAAGTGATAAGATGGGGGGGCTCACCATTAACTTTATAATTATATCATTTTAGAATATATAAAGTACAAGTTGATCCAACTATCCCAACTAACGAATATATTAGTATAATTAAATATTAAAGTATGGAGAAAAAAGGGAAAGACAGAAGAAAAAGTGGTATAGAAATACTGTCACAATACTAATTATTTATATTAGTGTATATCAACTTAGTTAAAAGGAGATTCTTATTTTTTTTTTTTCAATTTTTTTTTTTTTTTTTTTTTTTTGTTTGTCAAAAGTTTAGCTAAGCCACTATCTTGCTGCTACCAGATTTTTATAGTATTTACAGGCTTTTAAGATATTTTTTTTTTTTTTTTTTTTTTTTTTTTATAGTAAAAGATTTTCATTCCTTTCTGGAAATTTAATGGTTGGTGAGGTAAGGTGACCTTTCCTTCCACTTCACACATCAACATATTTTCTTCAATATCAACTATTCGAACTCAATTCCTGACAGTAAGACTCGATTACGAATATAACTTGAGATGCGTTCAATCTCGAGTTCAAATCTATACTTATGGTTCATTTAACGTAACATACATGTACAAACACACACGATCTTTAATTGTGGGCTATCTATATCTGAACCTAGATTTGTCACGTACCACTAACCTTAAGATGCACGAATTTTTTTGTGCACAAACGTTCCGCGTTTCGGACATGACACACGCCCGAAACATTTCGGGCCGTTTCTATAAATAAGTAGAAGTTTTGGGGATATTTACTTTTAGTGGTCTTTTGATAAATAATCTTATGTCTCTTTTTTTACTTTTAGTGGTCTTTTGATATTTCTTATATGTATTAATCCTATAGTAAAACAAATTTGTATGAAGATAGATAGTTTATGCATTGATAATACGGATTGTGACTTGTAAGTTGAATATAATTTGTGGGTACATATCTAATATTGACGATAAGTATATTATATGTTAATGTTTAGGGTAAATTACACCCGCACCTCTAGAGTATGCTAAAATAATTTTAAAGTCCCTAAAACATTATTAGAATTCCTACAAGACTATTAGTTTCAGGCAGTGATAGAGACAACATAGAACTAGGGGTGACATGACGCTCCTAACATTTCTTAATCCTTATTATTTTATACAACATTTATAATTTTCATCTA